CCCCCCCCCCCCCCCCCCCCCCCGCTCCTCTGTGTGAAACTAAGGAGGTGGGCCTGTGAAGATCACATCTTGATTGTGGTGCAACATCCAGCAGAGCTTTTTCCTGTAGCCTAGGAACTATGGGTGCTGGAGCAAAAATATTGGTAGCCTTGTTGCCAGGACCCAAAAAATGGCAGAATCAGCTTTGAAAGCCCAGAGCTCTTCTGGGGGCAAACTGTTCCAGGCCCCTCAGCCCTGCAGGCTGCATCTTTGCCCTGAGACAGACAGGGGGAAGAAAGGAGGCCAACATCAACAGCCCTGGCAAGGCCAGGAAGCACCGTGGAGGTATTTATATTTAGGGACGCGGCATACATGTGACGCTTGGCTCCTCTCCCCCACTCTTTTTTTAAAACCCAGATTCAAGCGGGATTGACATTCCAGGGTCTAGCCAAAAGTGACAAAAGGAAAACCTCTTGAAAGCTAATACAGACAAGCGCAGAAGCGCGGGTGGGGGGGGGGGTAGGAGAGAGATCAGGCTGGCAATTTAAACAAACCAGGCTCATATTCCTCGGGGTTGAGAAAGGTCAGGGAGCTGGCTGTTTTGACACCTGCATGCTTCAGACAGTATTGCAACCTCCTATCTGCAGCCTGGGGCTAGTGCCTGGCTCTGTGGCTTTCTTCCTCATTTCTGCATCCCAGTCAATCTGAGAGGCTGTAACACCATATCTGTTTAACTTCTTAAAACGTTATCATAAAGAACTTGCAAGAAAAAAAATCATACTACAAAATTAAGCAGACCTAAAGGCTATCTATCTCAATGAACTTGCTACAGTCTGGGGGAATGGATGCTCAGAGAGGTTTTATGGATTAGCTTTGCTTTCTTTAACCTGGACATACAAGCTCCGAGAAAAATCTCTGTGTGCTACATATAAGTCATTACCATGTCTTAATAGGATCTATTATCGAAACTCTGTATTGTGTTGAACCTTGGGCACCGTTAGACGGTATTAGTCACACAGGCATAGGAGTGGTTCACCTTTCTGTCAACTTGACTGCATTTAGAAAATCACCATGGAAACACACCTCTGGGTGTATCTGACGGCGTTTCCAGAAGTTCTAACTGATGATGGAAGACCTGCCCTGAATCTGGTGAATGACTCACAGACTGAGGTCCCAGACCGAATAAAAGAGGAAATGATCCAAACACTAGTATTCACCTGTACTTCCTGACTGTGGGTACCATGCGATCAGCTGCCTCCCACCCCCATCGCCATGCCTTCTACCGTGAGGGACTGGAGCCTCTAGAGCTGTGAGCGGAAGCAAACCCTCTTCCCTCTCGTAGCTTCTCATTGCTGTTTAAGGATTTGGTCATGGCAATAACGAACGTAATAAAATACTCATGCTAACTCATGCCCACTCCGTCGTGGGATCATCTTTACCACCTAGGAGAACATAGCCAGCTCTTTCTAGTTTGTTTCTATGTTTACCCAAGCTAACATTCAGTCAGAATCAAGTGTTCTCTCCCCCTGGAAGGAAACGGGGAGAAAGAAGAGAGAGGCAGAGCTGTAGTTGATCCACTGATAAAACCTGGGTTTTCATTGACGGACAGAAATGAGACCATGAACATTCACCAAATGCCACCTGGTCCTTGGCAAAGCTGAGTCAACCCCACAGCATCATGTGGAGAGAAATGAGAATATCAGAAGGCACCCCAAACTTAGGAGGCTTTATCATTTCCCCCAGGAGTGCAAACTGTAATTAGAGATTGCCAGTAAGCAGAATGCTGCTTAGAATGATCTAAATTTATCAGTAACAGCAGTTGTGGAGGCTCACGATAAACAGTCATGTAAGCGCCCCCGAGAAGAAAAGAAAGCGATCAATGGGAGCCACTCGGCATGTCTGACTTTAGCAATGTGACCCCCCCCTTTTGAGAGTGCACTCCATCCAAATCCTGTGAAGGCTGCCTGTCAAGATGACACAAACTACAATCACCCAGAAAGAGAGTCTCAGTGAGGTATGGTCTGCATCATCTCAGCCTGCAGGCATGTCTGTGGGGAATGCATTGATAAGCTAATCAATGTGGGAAGAGGCAGACCATTGTGGGCAGTGCCATTCCCTAGCAAGGGAGTTCAAACAAACCCCTTCCTCTCCTCTGTTGCTTTTGGCTAGGTTGTTTTAGCACATTCACAGAATTTAAAATGGAACAGACCTCAACTTCAGGAAAAGAAAAACAAAATGAAACAAAACAAAACCATGACTTGTCTCCTGTCCTAGATAAGAAACGAAACAACCAATGTCGTCATCACTACATCCCTTCTTTGGTTTTCTCCCTCCCTCCCTCCCTCCCTCCCTCCCTCCCTCCCTCGCTCCCTCCCTCGCTCCCTCCCCCCCCCCCCCCCCCCCCCCTCCCCCCCCCCCCCCCCCCCCCCCCCCCCCCCCCCCCCGGTTTTTCAGTTTTTCAGCCCTGGCTATCCTCAAACTCACAGAGATCTGTTTGCCTCTGCCTCCCAAGTGCTGGAATTAAAGGCATGTGCCCCCATGCCTGGCCCTCTGGCCCTTTCTTTGATTCTTGGGAGCCAAAAAGGAAACTCCTCTTTGGAGAGGCTATGAACCTAGAGCACATGAAGATCGTATGCGCCAGGAATAGAGGTGAAAGCCTTTACAAATCAAAGAACAAAAATCAATCCCATGTGTGAATTAGTGGAGGAATCTAAGCCCCATTCTAAGAAAAAGATGACCTAGTCCCAGCTGCTCACTGGTTAAAGGAACAGTGTGCTGCCCTTGTTCTTGCTGAATGTGATACCTGGTGCCCGCTGCTCAGGAGGAAGCGGCTATAGTGGCTGCACGCTATGCACCTTAAGGTGGGGGTGGGAGCGGATGTGGCATCAGAACCAGTGACTCTGATGAGGAACTGACCTGTAACTCAGGTAAGGACAAGAACTGGTCCATCATCCATCTCCAGTTAAAATCTGCTCCCCATCATAGCCCTGTGTGTTCCCATCCCTACAGCTCCTCAGAAGATCTGAAGGTAGCCTCTCTCCTCCACAAGGCTTCTCTCTACCCTGCATTCCCTAGATGTCCCCTGAGGGCAGGAAGACTCACTCCACAAGGTTTCCGCTTCTTTCCCGTGGGGGCATAGAAGCTGATGGCCATGAAGGGCATTGGACCATGAGATAAGGTTGATCCTGGAAGTATCTCCGGCAAGTCTTTCTACTCAGAGGCCTGCAGACAAGGAGTCTCACACCTGGGGCTCCGGCACTCCAGGAAAGAGATACGGTGGACGGTGTCAGTCACCATACATGAGCTGGAACTTTTTAGCTGAGCAAAATCAATTTGGTGAGCCACAATGGTCACTTAAAAAAACTAGCACATGTACATATATAATCCTTCAAGGTTCGTTCTTTTTTTTTTTCTAGATAGTGTATTGATACGTTGCCTAGGCTGGTCTTAAACTCAAGGGATCCTTTTGCCTCTGCCTCCCCAATTATAGATGCTGCCATTGTGTCTGGCTCTCTGTGGAATTCTAAAGCATCCCTCAAACAGAATCTGCTATTTCAGATTGTTCTGAAGAAACCCTGGTAAGGCAGTTTAAAACACCATCCTGACAGATGATGCTACCAGTTTTATGTCAGTCAGCTTACGACATGACGTGCTCGGTTGAGACTCTGAACAGTACTGTCCCTAGTTCACCAGAGTAAAGAGTCATGTGGTGATGGTGGTGATGATGGTGGTCGTGGTGGTGGTGATGGTGGTTTTGGTGGTGGTGATGATGATGCTGCTGGTGGTGGTGATGGTGTTAATGGTGAAGGTGGTGGTGGTGATGGTGATGATGGTTGTAGTGGTGATGGTTGTGGTGGTGATGGTGATTTTGGTGGTGGTGATGGTGCTAGTGGTACTGATGGTGGTAATGGTGATGATGGTTGTAGTGGTGATGGTTGTGGTGGTGGTGGTGGTGGTGCACCAAAATGATTCAAAGCAGCATTGCACTTCACTGTGATTTCCCAAGGAGCTACCCAGGCCTCCCTTATCCAAGCTTCACATTTACCATAATAATAAACACAGTCCAGCCCCAGGGCCTGCCTCTGTGGAAGAAAGAAGCACATACACAAGAAAGAAAAACAGAGTAATAAATGAACAAGTGGCCTTTACACATATTAAAAGCTAAAATATGAATGCTGTGTGCCATTAAAAGGAAGAAAGGAAAATGAGAGAGCGGTTTATGTCTAAGCTAATGGCATCTCTTTGGTGGGATTTTTCTGCCATAAAATAGGATTCAATAATCCAGAACAGCTTCTTCTTCCCAGGGAGACAATTTCCCTCCTTAAGAACAACAAAGGGGCACATAACTAAGGGGCTCAGTGTGGCGTACAACAGGGGAAGCGGCTGGCACAGTCTTCCATCCCGAGGCAACATGACTTTCTTACTGCACCCTTCCCATGCCATCCATCCCGCACGCCCCAGTTTCCCTATCCCTTCCCTTCCCTTCCCTTCCCTTCCCTTCCCTTCCCTTCCCTTCCCTTCCCTTCCCTTCCCCCTTCCCTTCCCTTCCCTTCCCTTCCCTTCCCTTCCCTTCCCCCTTCCCTTCCCTTCCCCTCCCCTCCCTCCCCTCCCCTCCCTTCCCTCCCCTCCCCTTCCCATTCCATCCATCTTGCACGGCCCAGTTTCCCCGTCCCTTCGCCCCTTCTCTTCCCATCCCATCCCTCAGGCCTGTTTCCCCAACCAGAAAATCCACTTGCCAGGACCAACCAGGGCCAGCCCAGCCTGCAAGCTGGCAGGGTAAACAGCTGCTGTCACTGCTCACTCCCCCCTCCCATCTGCCTCCCAAACTTCCTAAACCTGCTGGTTCACTCAGCAAACAAGGTAGGTCCAGCCAGATCCCACTCCCCTTCCTCACCCCTGTAAAAGGGGATCTGATGGAAAGTTCTGGTTACAGCTAAGCCTTGTCTTCCTCAAGGGACTTTATTCCGGCCCCTCAGATTCCACATTACGTGCCCCGTGGGTGACTGCTCTACTCTCGGCCTGCATGAGAAGAACTGGCTTAGCATCCTTAATACTCATAATGTTTACCAGATAGAGGAGGGGAGAGAGAGAGGGTCTCCACGCACTGGAAATTACACCAGTTTGGGGCTGAGACACGGGCCACAAACTGAAAAACAAACCTGCCAGTTAAAACTTTCAACCTAGGCACCCCCAAGGTTTTCTTGGATCACGATAGTTGGGGAGGTCATACCCCAATCAAGTTATAATTTGGCTAGAAAACAAAGAGCACATTTTTGGGGAGCTCCCAATTTGTACAGACTAGATAGAGAACTTCAAGAGAAAAAGATCATTACCTGGTTTGCTCCTGTTGCAGTGTGTTGGGATCGGGTATAAAATATCTGACTCGAAAATGCAGGGTACAGGGGAAACCTCCTATAACATTTTTCAAAGACAAATTAGGTTTTCCCTTAAAAAGAAAAAAGTCAACGTACACAGTTGCTACTCCCCATAAAGGGAGCACTTTTCACTCAACCCCATTTTCCACTATAAAAGCTCCGACTTCAAGTTCAGAGTATATAAGTTAACCGTTCATAAGGCCCATGTACACCTAAAGGACTTGTAAAGCATCTGCCCCACTGTGGGATCACCTACTTCCGGTTGCACATCTGCCTTTTGGCCCTGCTCAAACTATGATACCCGTATTAAAAATGTTTTAAAGTCTTAAAACCAGCATCTATCCATAAAATTCACAAAAAACGGAAGCAGCCTGCATTGAGCTTGTGATTTATGCCTCTGCAACATTTCCAGGTAGCCTATAGAACTTCACCACCACCATGGCTACCTGCAGGCTGGTGGATCTATTTCACAGTCAGGGACGGAACTGCCTCTCCTGACTGGGCAGCGGTGACAAGACCAGAATGCTCTGTAACACTGACTCAAGTTTTTGACTTGATTTTTTTTTTTAACTAGAAAACACTGTCACAATTTCAAGGTAAATCACAACAGTCACTGTGACCCTGAGTGCTGTACCACTCAGATGTGACTTAGGCATCAACGCCAAGAGCCAGTTTGCCTGTGGGATAAAACTAGCCACGTGTCTGACCGAAGATCACTGTTGCCAAGACATGGGAGACCCGACCTTGTTGACTTCACCCTGTCTCTGGCACTTGGTAAATCTGCCCAGGTCCTGTCTCTGGGCTCACATAGCACTTTCGTGATCTCTGAAACCCAAGTCCTTCTGTGATCTGCCCAGCTGGCTAATCCTTCTGCTCATCTCGTCTTCTGTCTTGGTTCATCCTGCCTCCACTCTGCCATCTCTTAGTTCCTTCCTTTGTCACCTCTGGGCTGGGGCTAGCAGAGTCTTTAATGGTGGGTGGGTGCGTGCGTGCGTGTGTGCCTGCGCCTCTAGTGGGTGATGCTCGCTCTGAGGCAAAGTCATTATCGTCGTCCCCCATCCCGCGTTCACTGTCCAGTCTCCCCCTTCCTTCATCTGTTACTTTGGTGTTTCAGGTGTAGTCTCTGTCTTTCTTGGTTCTTCTGTGGACTCAGAGAACATGCACACATGTGTGTGCGTGCGTGCATGTGTGTGCGTGTGTGTGCCTGTGTGTGTACATGTGTACGTGTATACACGCACAAGTGAATATGCATAGTACTATCACAAAACTATCCTCTTTTCAACTTCTACACGTGACCTTGAGAGCAGGGCTCAAATCTGCCTTGCACCGCTTTTCCCAGGTTTAGCACAGTGCTTTGCCTTGGTCAGAGCACTTAGGGTTGTGTTTGCTGCAAGAATGAGTCAGAGAGAGAATGACAGACAACAGCTACCTAGGCCTCATGTGACTGGCCACCTCCTGTGAGTCAAGAATCCTGAAGGGGACAGAGTAGAATGAAGTCCCCTTCAGTAGAATGAGAGGCAGGTAAGACACCTCACTGTGAGGTAGCAGGAGGCGTACTCAGCCACAAAGGGTCAAAGAAATGAGAGTTAGCACTTCCCTTCAGGTAACCGGGTGATATCTGTGGAACTCTGGGGAGTGGCTGTGAACCCTGGGTCAAGAGGAAAAGCATTCTTTACAGAAGGAGGAGACTGAGGGGCGGTTCAGAGGAAGTCGTGTAGACTGGCCAAGTTAGTCTGGGACAACAGGTACCTATCAGGCCCAATGAGAGCCGCAAGGGCAGCTAGGCTGAGAAGAGGTGGCCAGAGGGTAGGCTGGGCATGACCGGAGTAGCTGTGTCACTCGGGGCTGAGAGTAACACAGGGGGCCACTCAGGACAGATGAGCCAGCATCTGTGGGAAGTATGTTGGAAGCTGTTGGAAAGTATGAGGGTTTATGTCAGTCTCTCTTTGTGTGAGTATGAATACATGTGAGCATACATGCACGTGTGTCTGCATACATGCACACGTGTGTCTGCATGTGCAGGTGGAAACCACAGGCTGAAATCAGGATCTTAGTCCACTGCTCCCCATCTAAGTTTTTGAGACAGGGTCTCTTACTGAACCTGGAGCTCATCATTTGGCTGGGGGTCTGGCCAGCCAAGTCCAGGAATCCCCCTGTCTCACTCATCCTCCCAGCGCTGGGATCATGGGCACACACCACAGTGCCCGGCCTTTTACATTGGAGCTGGGATCCGAGCTCAGGTGCCTAAGCTTATACAGCCAGCATGTTTACCAACTAAAACATCCCCCTGGCCCTTTTATGTCTATTTCTTGTCCTGGGCTGAGAAGGCCCACCCTTCATCCACGTTCTCCCTTATGCATAAACAGAAGCAAAGGCTCCCTTGTTGTGAGCTGCCTCCTCGCTCCTCACCCTTCTGCACAGCTGGGATCCTTAAGGCTGCTCTGAAGCACAGCCTAAGGATCTCTCCCTGGCCCCGCCCCCTTAACTCCCCGAAAAGATAGCTGGCCAGACCCCCAAGAACCAACACCAGTAAAGTCATACCCACCTTTCAGCTGCTTCCTGAGAGGTTTGCTTGCCTCGAGCCATCTCTGTGGAGTGAGAAAACACACATAAGCTGCTGACCAGCCGAAGCAGGCAAGCAGCACGTCCTATGCAGGGGCACTCACGGGGGAGTCCACTGGGTCGTCGCCATGTTGCAAGCCAAAGTACTCCTTCTCCGTCACGCCCAGGTGGCCGTAGGCCAAATCCAGAAGTGACTGGCCCAGATCTTGTTTCTAGATCAGAAAGCAGCAAGTGGAGAAAGTATTAAAATGAATCAAGAACTAGAAGCAACAATGTTGTCGTTTTCTTTGTTTGTTTTTTACTGTAGAAAAAAAGAGAAACTATATATAGATAGATAGATAGATAGATAGATAGATAGATAGATAGAGAGACAGACAGACAGACAGACAGACAGACAAAATGGTTCAGAAAATAAAAATAAGGTGGAGAGCAATGAAAGAAGTTACCCAATATTGGCCTCTGGCTGAACCTGTCAGTCAACCTGACTGACGTATCAAGCTCCAGGTCAATGAATGACTCTAAGAAATCACATTGCAGGTTGTCTTCTGGCCTCCACATGCATGCGCACACGCACACGCGCGCACACACACCACACAACACTGCGAACTTAACTGAGCTTTCTAAGTTGCTTCCATCCCTTAGCTGAGGCTCTCCAGTGACTTCTGGAAAATGCACGAGTTACACAGCAAACACGCCAAGACCTGCCGTGGATTACCCAAAGCAAACGCTAATCCCAGGTCAGCTCCTGTTGGCTGCTTGGGGCCCAGCTGCAGCTCCTTCCCCCGGAGGAACCCAGAGAGTGTGCAGCAAGGAAAACTCTCCACTAACAGCTAAAAATACTCGAATACCATCCAAAATACCCTCGAAGTGACTTGGCACACGTCCCCTTGTGGGATTATCTGCCCCGCTGCTTCTTGGGCATCGGAAGTGAGAAGCAGGTGGGGACATTCAGCCACACTTCACTCCGGAGTGGGACTCAGTGGCCTACTCCAGTGTTTACGGGGCAGCCTGATGTGGGCGCTGGGAAAGAGCCACCGTAAGCAGCGCTCTCCTTCCTCGGTGGCTAACACGGAGTGTCAACCGCTGTCAAGGGCTTGGAACCAGTCGAGACACAGCAGGTAAGAGTCCTTGGAGGACATCATGAGCAGTGGGATCCACCTGGGGACAGGGACAAGGGATCCCTCTGTGTCGGGATGACAGGGTGGAGTGTCACCCTTCCCACCCGTCTAGTGGGCCCACCCAGCTTGAAGCTGATGGCACAAACAAAAGGTGGCTTTGGTTGGTGGGCGGCGGGGGTGGGGGGGTGGGGGGCGGGGGGAGAGATGTACACAAGAGCAGCATGGAGCATTTGGGAGGCTTCAGATTCTATTTTAAGAGGTCGCCCTCCCAGGAATGCTTTCAACCCAACCATTTAGCGCAGGACAATGCAAGTCAGAAATAGACAGGTAGAGAGAGGCTCTCCCTGTGAGCTTCTGAGAGCCGGGAATGTGTAGAAAATGGGTCGCTGTGACCAGGGTGGGGAGAGTTAGGTAACTCGGACATTCCTGCAGCAAGCTCTTTGGGGTGACTTCATGGAATCCGGTCTGTTGTAGAGAGCATGAGCCTTGCCTGTTTCCAGAATGCACCACCTTGTATCCTGAAGGCTCCAGAAGCTGCCAGCATCCGTCGCAAGAAAGTCTCTCCATGGGTAAAGACAAAAGCCCACCTGTTCCCCCAAGTTACCAATTCAGATACAGTGTGCGTGGGGTGTGTATATATGTGTGTGGTGTGTGTGTATGTGGTGTGTGTACTATGTGTATGTGTGTGGTGTGTGTAAGTGTTTGTGTGTGTGATGTGTGTGTGTGTGGTATGTGTGGTATGTGTATTGTGTCTGTGATGTGTGTAGTATTTATGTGTGTGGTGTGTGTGGTGTGTGTATGTGTAGTGTTTGTGTGTGTATGGTGTATGTGTGTGGTGTGTGTGTGTGGTATGTGTATATATGTGTGGTGTGTGTAGTGTGTATGGTGTGTGTGGTATTTGTGCGTGTGTGTTGATGCTGGGATAACTTCCACCACCCTCATCTCATTATTTTGGACAGGATTTCTTAGCGAATCTCAAGCCAGGCTGGCTGGTCAGGGAGCCCAAGGGGCGCTCTTAGCTCCACCTCCCACTTTAATTTATTATGTCATTAGCAACTGTAATTTATTGATACCACACTCACTTGGCTTCAACTCTGCAAAGTAGCCCTCAACATCTGCCTTGCCACTGAGATCCAGGCACTGGGAGGCGCCATGAGATCCAGGCACTGGGAGGCGCCATGAGATGCAGGCACTGGGAGGCGCCATGAGATGCAGGCACTGGGAGGCGCCATGCCCATCAAACCCACGTTAGCCACTGAGAACTGAGAGATGCCATGCCTGGCAGTCCCGCACTATCACCCAGTATCACCTGACCATCTGACTTGCGTCAGTGCAATGCCAAAGCCCTGTGTTCTCGCTGGATTGCGTCTCTCACCTCTGAACTGCAGAATCCAAACATTCAGGTATCAATTCTGCTCAATTCTCCTCCTTCCCCAAAGAATTAAAATAGAATCAAAGCCAGGTGTGGTGGCACACATCTTTAAGCCCAGCACCTGAGAGGTAGAGGCAGGTAGATCTCTGTGCGTTTGAGCCCAGTCTGATCTATACATCGACCAGACCAGGGCACAGATATACAGTGAGACCATATCTCATGAAAAAGTAGGGGAAGGGGAGGACAAACCAGAGCAGCAAAGCACATCAGAGAGCCCTGCCAGCAAGTCCTATTGGTCCCATCTTCCAGGTGCCTCCTTCCAGTCACGCCCACAAGACTGCTCTGTCCACCACCAGAACCTGTCTCAGGGACTGCGACTCAGTCTCCCAATCATCTCCATCCCTGGCTGCTGAGGACCGAGTGACCCTTAAGTCAGGTCATGTCCAGCCCTCTCTACACTACCCAGTGTAGAAGCCAGCGTGCCCAGCTTCCAGTTGGCCTCCCACCCCCACCCCTTCTCGATATCTCTGACCTCACTTTCCTCTGGCTCTCCTCCCGTGGGGCTCACGCTGTTCCAGATGTGCCAACCTTGCGCCATGTGGGTCCCAGGCTTGGCCGCAAGCACCTTTACTCACTGAGCTATCTTGTCCTTCTCTTTCTAGACCCTTCTTGAGATGATAAATAACATATCCCCTCCTCAGAAGAACCAAGCATGGCCTTAGACACAGCCGAAGAACCGAGTGGGGCAGTGGGAAGGAAGGCAGGGAAACAGATCTCCGCTAATCACCGCCACTGTTGGCTGGCGCTTGAGTGCTGTGGGCTGCTGAGGACTTCTCACGCCCACGGTGTGGAGAGCTGCCCTGGCCCCGGTTTGGAAGAACTGAAAACTGCCTTCTGCCCGCACCAAGAACATTAACAGTAGAAAGGAGAGAGAGAGAGAGAGAGAGAGAGAGAGAGAGAGAGAGAGAGAGAGAGAGAGAGAGAGAGAGAGAGAGGTCTTATGACTGGGTAGAAGATGATAGGTGTTAGTGCAAGCCTTTGATCCTAGATAGATGCAGACAGATCTCTGATTTCTAGGCCAGCCAGGCTTTGACAGTTAGTCCCTGTCAAAGGGGAAGAAGGAGGAGTAGTGGAGCAAGCAGTAGCAGCTACAGTAGGAGCCTGTTAGTTTTCATTATGGTTTAAGTGCTATGGGCTTTTCTGCTCAACACCCCCCCCCCACACCATTGTGTTTGTTTGTTTTAAGACACAGTGTCTTAAATGTAGCCCAGGCTGGCCTCAAACATTTGCTACTCCTAAATTCACCTCCCAAGTGCTGAATCATAGGAATTTACTACCATATCCAGTCCATCTCCTTTCCTTTCTCTGCATTTTTTTTTCAAGAGAGATAGAGTTTCCCTGTGTAACAGTCCTAGCTGTCCTAGAACTAGCTCTTGTAGACCAGGCTGTCCTCGAACTCACAGGCATTCACCTGCCTCTGTCTCCCAAGTGCTGGGATTAAAGGTGTGCACCACCACTGCCCGGCCTCTCTGCATATTCTTTAAAAGATGGGGCACAGGTGACTTGGGGCCGAATTTGATACTGTGAGGCCTGAGAGACACCGAGAAGTCCTGGACATAGGCGGTGTGTGGAGCGTGGGCGTGCAGCCGGCTGAGGCAGCTGCTGCTCTTGCCTCTCACAGCTGCTTACGTGAAGACCTGAGATCAAGGGCTCTGAGCAGGAGCCAGGCCCTTGTGGAGTGCCGCCATCCATGAGGCTGAGCATCTCACAGGGCACAGCTGCGTGCCCAGTCCTGGGCCAGGACACCCGACCTGTCCTCAAGGGGTTCACAGTTTAGTAGGAGACTTATAACCTAGTGATTCTTACTATTTTTAAAATTGCAGAGTCACGTGGGCTCTATACAGAGTATGGTCATCCAAGGGCCAGTTCTGCCTCGGGGGACGGAGGGGATGGAGCCATCAGACAGGTCCCTCAGAAGAATGGAAGAGACAGGGGCAAAGGTTGCAAGGCTATGCCCAGCCCGGGCTCACCATCTGAGATCCGAAAACTTAAGCCTTCATTTTTCAGTCAATCTCTTACAATTTTGTAAGCCAAGAACTTAAAACTATTTAAGAGAATTTCCTCAAACCCCTCTCCCCCCTCCAAAAAAAAAAAGTGGAGCACTTACGTTAACTTTAAAGGTCTGTACCAAGCCATCTAAAAACCGTATACTACAGATGACCTCGGATCGAGTTTTCTCTTTGGGTAATTCGGAGGTTCGTATATTATTAATTCTTCCACCCAACGCACGTAACCGGGAGGTCATAACGACCGCTGAGTAACCTGTAATATAAGACGCCTGTCAGTGCTTTCAAAGGCAAAAGATCAGGTCCCACACAGTTCCTCACATGGGCTGGCTTGGGTGCCCAGAGCATCAGCTGCAGAACCTGCAGGGAGGAAAGAGGGTAACAAGCCATCTTTGCATTTCACGGTTGACCTGGGGGTCAAACGACCCCTTCATAGGGGTCACTTAGGACCATCAGAAGGCACAGATATTTAGGTTATGGGTTTATAACAGCAGCAGTTATAAAATTACAGTTGTGAAGAAGCAGTGAAAATAACTTTATGGCTGGGGGTCATCACAACATGAGGAACTGTATTAAAGGGTCATACCATGAGGAAGGTGGAGAACCACAACTAAGTAAAACCTGTTCTCAGTGATGTTAGGTCAAGAAAACACACGGCTCATTCATCTGTTTGTCCTATCATCGCCAAGGTCTGTACATTCTAATTTCCCAGAGTGTAATTCCTATTGTAGGCAATTTGCAATATTTACAAAACTAAGTATGAAATAAATAAAATGTAAAGCATAAAAAAATCTGGTTAGTGAATTATATTAAAATTAAGAACTTCTACTTTGTAAAAGAAATATCTTTAAAGGTTCACTAATTTTGGCTGAGGGGTGGGAAGGCTTAGCGGTTAAGAGCGCTGACTGCTGTTCCAAAGGACCTGAGCTAGCATGTCGGCTCACAAATGCCTAGAACCACAGTCCCAGAGGATCCAGGGCTCCCTTCTGGCCTCCACAGGCACTGCATACAGGAGGTACACTTACAGACACGCAGGCAAACACTTGCATACATAAAATAAATACATGTGCCACAGTGAGTATGTGGGGACCAGAGAACAGCTCACAGTTGTCTGCCCTCTCCATCTACTGCTTGGGACTGAACTCGGGCTTGAGGGCAGACACCTTAATCCGCTGCGCTGTCTCACCAACACCAGCCCTCTATCTTCTTTATCTTTTAATTAATTAATTAATTTATTTGAGACAGGCCTCTCACTGAAGCCAGAGATCACAGATCTGGCCAGACCAGCTGGCCCAGCGGCCCACCATACTCCTATCTGTCTCCTATTGCTGGGATTACATATGTGCGCTGCTGCACTTGGCTCTCAATATAGATGCGAGGGAGTCCAGACCCTGGCCCTCACACTGGCATGGCTAGTGTTTACCAGCCGAGCATTCTCCCCAGGCCCTTGAGATGCTTTTAAGAAGGAAGCAACAGGCTGGACTTGGTGGCACAAGCCGTTAATCCCACCACTCGGGAGGCAAAGGCAGGTGGATCTCTATGAGTTTGAAGCCAGTCTGATCCACAAAGTGAGTTCCAGGGCAACCAGAACTACTAGAACAGAGACTTTTTCTCAAAACAAACAAGAAACCCCTTCCCCGCCCCCCCCCGAAAAAAAAAAACCTAAAAGGAGGAAGTGGGGGGAGTATCACATGGCAATTTAAAACCTGACCACTGTGTTTTTGGAAGAGTAAGGAAACTGGTTCTACCAACCGCTCCATGGTGGGATGGTAGGATAAAAAGGCTGGCGAGATTTGAAACCGAGCACACGGCCACAGCAGCCCCGCGGGTGTGCTGAGTGTCTGGACCGCCACAGAGAATACAGGGAGAAGATGAGATTAACTAAGTGGAAGAGCAAGTGCAGAAGGAAGCTTTAGAGCGCATGTGCCCCTCCCTGCTTCAGCCGGGCTTCCTGCTTCCCCCCCCCTCACTCCGGGTGCTCCGAACAAGTCCCGCCCCTTCAGGGCTGCCAGTCTCCCAGCCGGTTACACGGGGTGTTGTAAAAGCTCTCAAGCGTGCTCACTGATGTGCTACACTTAGAACTCACGGTGTGTGGCTTCTAGCTGCGTTTCCCACTACACACCAAGCTCCACGGGAGTAGGAGTAAGGTCTGGTTTTGTTCTCCGTACCAATGACACCCAGCTCTGACAGGCAATCCATTAAGTCCTTGAGTAAACCAATAAATGCCCAGAAGAATTAAAAAGAAAGTGAAGTCATAAAAGCCTGGGGGGGGAGGGGGAGTTAGAAAGTGACAGGAAGCTCAGGCTGACAGAGCAGTGCAGGCAGGACAGAAAGATGGCTCAAGGGTGGCTGGAGGGGAGATGTCCTTCAGTCCAGGGCTCCTCCCACTGAAAGCTGAGGAGATGGAGCAGGACTGGACCAAAATGCAGTGGTTCTGAGTGGGGTCTGAGTGACTGTGTGAATCTTAGTCTTCCAAGTGATGCTTCCAGTTAGCCATTAGCCATGCAGGGTCTGTCTGCTCTCCTGGGAACAAGGCTCAGACACCCAGAAAGACAGCACCAAATGCCAGGGCAGGGCCAGAGGTAAAGACCCGGGCGGGTGGTGAGAAGACAGACAGATGTGTGTTTACTCTGCAGAGAGAGACCAGAGGGCGGAGCAGACCAGAGACTGAAAATTAAGTCTCTGGGACAACAGGGATGGATTACAGGAAGAGGACAGAAGCGGTGCGCTGGGTCCCTAATATAAATGTAAGGAGTTCTAGCTTTTAAAAGTAGCTAGCTAGGACAGGAAATATCAAACATTAATGAAAAAATTCCTGGGACTGGCAGTGAGAGAAAATACACACGCACACACACACACACACACACACACACTCTCTCTCACACACACACACACACACACACACTCACACTCACAGAAAATTCCACCCACCCACCACCTCCTCCATGCCCTTTTCAATAAAAATGTCACCAGAATCAGGGATGCATTTTCTGAGTAATACAAAAAGTTATCCAAAGACAACAAATGTGTCCCCCGACTGTGTTATCCCACACGTAACTGAAAATGTCAACTCCGCTGCTTGCTTCTTGTTGAAGAATCTCGGGTGAACTGTGCTTTTTGGAAGCCACAATAGCATCATTCTGAAGTGTGGTATTAACAGGCAGCGCCCCTCAGAGCTTCCTGAGGCAACTTCTGAAAATGAGGCTTTCATTGGTCCTGCCTCCCACGGGGACTCAGCACTCGGGGCCTTTGGGAGTCCCTCAGAGGGCAGACAGGGAGCTGAGGTTCAGACAGCGGCTTTTCACATCGCTGGCCTTAGAACACAGCCAGATCTGCAGAGCAGATAGGGCAGACAGTCTCACACAGACCCTGGACATAAAACCAACAGGGACTTCAAGGAGGAACCCGGGAATGAAAACAACATGCGCTGATGAGCCAACCACAGGCAGAGTTCAGACGGCCATTCCCCTAGGCCAGCATGGGAATCCCAGCACTGGAAACTGAACTTCCCAGCGTGGTCACAGAATATACTCAGAGAGACTTTTCCCTTCTCCCTGATTGTCACACGAAGGCCTTGGAGCCTAAGAACGGTGTCATTTATGAGAACCGCAGAACGTTCTTCCTGTGATTGTCCCCGGAGCAAACCCTGATAAGAGCTTGCCCACTGCTAAACTACACACTATCAGGCCAGGAGGTGTTTCCAGATTGTCTTGAAATTGTATCTTAAACAGTCTGCTTGGACAACAGACGCTGAGTAATTGCCCTGTTTCCTGTACCGCAGCAATCGGGGAACTCGGGGTTTCTATGGCTTCCTTTATAAGCCTCTTAATTCTAAACAAAGCCAAAACCCAAACAGGAACACAGTGGCCTAGGTAACCATGGACCATCACAGCTGCAGGTGAGAGCAGACATCATGGGAGCCAAGCCCATCTGTTGATTCCAGATCAACGAGCTACAGCTTGGGGAGGGCTGGAACCTTCCGCGGGGTCTACTGTGATTCAGATCTTAATCAAGGACGAGATTCGGAAAGCATTTATAGAAAAAGCATGCTCTCGTGATGCACACAGCTGGGGCTCGGTCAATCCTGCAAACTCAGAGAAGGAACACTACAGAAGGTGCCTCACAAGCACCAGATATCCAATAAAAGGCATTGTGTATTTATGTTTGTTTATTACCGTGGAGATGGGATCTCAGGCAGCCAAGGCTAGCCTCCAATTTACTACATAGCTGAGGTTGGGCATGCCCAAGTGCTAGGATTACAGGTCTGCGCCACCGTGCCAGGATGCAAGGCTAAGTTTCAGATGTGAACAGGCGCTGGACTGTAGAGCCCAGATTTTGTAGGGCTATCTTGATGTCAACTGTCTTGCAGACAGAGAAAGGTTTCCTTTCTCGAATGTTATTCCTTTTAAAGCAGTTCACTGGGTGTTCAAAGCCAGTCACTGCTACAGACGTTAAATACCTCTGAGGGGGGGAAAGGGGGAGTAAAAAGGAAATTAGACCTTTAGCTGAAGAATGTGTTTCAAGGCCTAGGGATGTAGCTCAGTTGGTAGAGTGCCTGCCTCGCATCCATGGGGCCCTGGGTTCGACCCACAGTACTGCATAAACCAGGCAACACCTACAGGCAATCCGGCACCTCAGGCAGAAGTAGAAGCTTAAGGTCTCGAGACTTTCAGAAAAACATAAACAAGTAAGCAAATATTGGTTTAATGGAGACAGGGTCTTAGGTCGTTTAGGCTGGCCTAGAAGTTGTTACATGGTCAAGGATAGCCTTGAAAGTCTCGGTGCTCCTACGTCCACTTGCCAGACGCCAGAACTAGGCAGGCCGCACCACACCCTGATCTTTTTAAAGAAAACAGTCTGGATTTACAAAGAACGGGGCATGAGTTTTCTATGTCAGAAAACCACGGGTGGGCCTTGCTCCTAGAACCAAGCCAGGCAAGCACACACAGGCTGACCTTGGCAATACTACCATCTAGTGGCCACCATAAGAAAGCACGCGCCTCCAACCCCGTGACTTGGGGGCGACGCAGGTGTCAGCTCTGATCCTGTTTCCCAGGCATCTCAGCTGCTTTCTCCTAATCCTTCTTCCCCACCGGGCTGAGGAACGTGTTCTTCCCCTCTCTTTCATTTTTTATTTTCTTTTCTAATTTTGAGTATCAACAGATGACCGATCCGCTGGAGAGGGAGCTGTCTAGCACAGAAAAGAACACAACGTACCATCAGCCACCTGAGGCAATGACTCACCAAATCGCCAGC